TGATCACGACAGATGCATGTATCACCTTGACAGTGGCACACTTGCATATTAACAGGCTTAATATGAATTTGCTGCACACAGTATTGTTGCTTTTCAGAGACATGTCTAGTAATGACTTAGTCTTTGTCTAAGCATAAGCTTTTTACTTATAGGTGGTAAAATTAGAACTGTCTGAAGCATGGATGTGGACTTCATTTTCTTGGTCTCTATTCTAAGCACCCATCCCTCATTTATTTTTCCCTTTCCCCCCTGTGATGTTGATAGTCAATGAGGAAACTAATGGGATAATGTTAAATCTAATACTTCTACAGAGATTTGTGTGCTCCTGTCTCCCACCCAATAATACCACACATATGCTATGGTTACATCAGTGTTAAGTGGAGCCTGAGAAACTTCTGACTGTATAGTACCAACTGAAATTTGGTTTGGGGATTAAATCGGCCACCAAACAAAAACATAATTGTATGGGTTGAACATTGCAGTTCAAATATGTTTTGAACTGATTATAAGGCGGGACAGTCTTAAAGCATTAATGAAGTAATTAATTTTTGATGTCCATAGAAATTTTGCAATGTGTCAGATGTTAAGCATGTTTTGATTTGTTCCAGTAGCCGGATCGAGCTGGGAGATGTGACGCCACACAACATTAAGCAGCTGAAGAGGCTAAACCAGGTCATTTTTCCTGTCAGCTACAATGACAAGTTCTACAAGGATGTACTGGAGGTTGGCGAGCTAGCCAAATTAGGTACAAGTGTTCTTGCCAGTAATTGTGGGCTATGGTGGCAGAAGTGCTCCTCATTGCTATCCAGAAAGGTTTTGAACAGCAGATCCTTCTATTTTGCTGTTTTACATAATGAAAAAATAACTGTTTGGGAACCCCAAAAAGCCACAGTCCCAACCTCAGAGGGTTTGTGTGCTAAATAGATTCCATTTTACTGGGAATAGGCCTGTTTTCTGTTACAGCAGAACTTAAGGTATGTGTGCTGCCAGCTTACCTCCCGATGTCATTGCTAGTTGGTTTGAGCTGTAATAAGCCAAGCACTGTGTCAGAGCACTATTGGTAACTTCAAGTGTTAAGGCATAATGTGTGGTGTTTTATCTGGATGGGAGAATTAGCAAGAGGGAAGGAAGGAAGTTACAGGATGTAAATGAAGAAGCTGTACGTACAGTTTCAGACTTGTGACTGATAATGCTTTGTTTCCCTCCCTGGCAGCCTATTTCAATGATATTGCAGTGGGAGCAGTGTGCTGTAGGGTGGATCACTCCCAGAACCAGAAGAGACTGTACATCATGACACTTGGATGCCTGGCACCCTACCGAAGGCTAGGAATAGGTAAGGAGCATATTCTTTCGAATCTGAGTCATCAAAGAAACCAGATTGCTCTGCAGCCTTCTAATGATCTTTCAGAGTTCTAACCAAGATAGTGCACTTTTAGACAACTGATTTCTGTGGAAGAGACTTTAGAGAGAGTGTAACTTATGATGTGCTCTCTTTTTCCTGCCTTTCAGAAGTTTACTTTTTGTGGAACTTTCAGATTTTCACATTATTTTAATCTTAATCAATTTATCAAACTGTGATGTAAATATTCTGCTTCTATAGAGGTGAAAATTGATGCACAGAGATAAGAAATAATTTGTTAGAGATATGCACCCAGTGTGCAAGTCATGTGTAAGTAGAACACAACATTTCTTCATTAGGTTATCTCTTCACTCTTCTAAGTGTAGGGTTTTTTCTATTTATTTTCCCTTTATTACTACTGATTACTGCTGTTCAGGGGTAATACCTGCTTTCTGTCTATGCTGCAATTAGATCTTTTCATGTTGCAAATCCATGGGCCAGATTAATCAAGAACAGTAACCTGTTTGCTTTGACAAACTGGAATGAAAAGATAACTTGCTTTTAAATTACTTTACTAGTTCTTTATTAGAAAAACTTAGTAGTGCTCTCATTGCTTTATACATTGTTTTGACCAGATTTTGAGGTGAGTTTTTGAGACCTTGAAGCTAGTATTTAAATGGGGCTGCTTCATACTTATGCTTCTGGGCTGTTGGGTGCTTTTTCTCCAAAGAAACAATGAATTTGTGAGCAGTCAAAGATAGTGAAATACTTACACACCATGTTTTATTTGTCTTTCCTAGTTCTATCAAGCTCTGTCATTTTAGCCTACCTACAGTTAACCTGCCTTTTCTCAAGAACGTCATTAGCCAAGTATAGACCTCGTTGTTCACTTTTGGTTTTCTTAAGTATCTCTTTACCTTTTGGCAGGAACTAAAATGTTGAATCACGTCTTAAACATCTGTGAAAAAGATGGCACTTTTGACAACATCTATCTGTAAGTAAATGAATTACACTCATGCATTTGTGGAGATATTATAGAGGCATATATGGGAGCAAAGGGAGGGAGATCCAAGAGCATTTTCAGTATGTATTTCTGTGCATTTATGGGATATCTTGTAAGTACTAGCAAGAAAGCTGGGGTCATATTCTGGGCTTGTTGTGTGACGCTGAAAAAGCCAAAAGCTTGCTTGCTTTAGAAGAGCTTCTGCAAACTTGCTGAATTTGAAAATAATTTAGTTACGAAATGGTGTTCTATTACAGAATTACACCATATGACTAAAAAAAAATTGGGAAGGAATTATTTTTTTTTACCATACAGTGTTGTCCTTAGAATGGAAAATGCTGCAAGACTTGAATGCAGTTTTGATGCATTTGCGGTTTCTGTCTTCTATGGCAGCACTGTGTGGGTTAGAACATCAGATCAGAGGTGCTTGCAAGCACTGCTTATTCCCATTCTTGCATGATGCCAGGTCAGCTGTTTGTGCAGCAACACAGTAAACTAGGTCAGTGACCTGACCCAGCTGGGGAAGCTGTTTCCAGTTTTGTTTTTGGGTAGTGTTTTTTGTTTTAGTGTGTTTTGGCAGAGTTTTGCGGATCTGGGGGGGAAGGAGGTTGTGGGGTTTTGGTAATTTTTTTGGTGTGTTTTGTTGGTTTTTTTTCCCAAATGAACTGCATGTCTGCATAAGCACTTGGCATGATGCAGACAAGAGAACAAGCACTGGGTTAGAGGACAGGTCTGCTTAAAAGAGCACTGCTATCCTAATACATCCCCATGGAAATAGAGCCTGAAATCCATAGATGCCAAAGCTTTGTTTCCCCTTCACTGCTGGCCACATGCTTCTGCTTCTTCCTGTGCATTGGTGTCTGTCTGAATACCAAGTGACCTGATGCAGTTTTTGTCCAGATCACTTCTCTGAGCCAGCTTCTTCCCTGTCCATCACTGCTTGCTTATATCAGTACAAGCACAGTGCACAGGTAGGGAGAGTCCCACAGCAGGTATGGCTTGGGTGGATTTATGCTGCCACTGAGCTGCACCCTGAACCCTGGCCAGAACTGGTGAAGATGTGTTGTGAGGAGTGTTTTATACCCCAATATCACTACAAGTGGAGTGACCTTCTCAAGCTTAGTCTACCTCTGCCAAGGAGATGCAACATCTTCCAAGTGCTCTGCTGTTGTAGCTTTGTGCCATCTCTGTAAGAGGAACCAGTTGTTTTAAAGATGAGTTAGAGTAAAAAGCAGCTTTTGGCTTGTATTCTTGCTCTCCTGCCTCAGAAGTTGCAATGAAGTCTGTCTCAGATGCCTGCTAGCTGGCACAGGCTTTTCTTTTTGCTTTTGCACTGTGTGCACAGTGAAGAAACTGCATGCTCTTTTTAATGCAAAAACCAAATCCTTCATAATACTTCACAGAGTAGGTTTCTGGGATGACAATGAACAGCCCCCAAAGTTGGGCATAACAAAGTCCTTTCAGTGGCCTATTGATTTTATTACAATGTGTGTAATGTTGTGCATATTCTATCTGAACGTATTATGCAGCTTGGCACTCAATTTGCTATTGGTGGTTAAATTTGTCATTATGAAGTTTCCTTTTAGCTATTTGGTGTTTATTTGGCTTAACACTAAGATCTTTTGTTTAGTTCTGCTGTTGCTTCCAGAGTTCCTTTGGTTCTATGGTTATGCAGCGTGTTGTCATGACAAAGTGATTCATGTGCAGCGTCTGCTGAAATTTGGAAGTGTTTAATGAATGCCTTTTGCTGAGCCAAACTTTTTTTTATATATAAAGAACTTGTGCAAATAAATGTCCTAGTCGCTTAGAATGAAGAACTGATGGCTGTTTGTTTTGGAGGCCTTGAAACTCTTGCAATATATGCTAGCAAGATCTGTAAAACTCTGGGGAAGATAGATAAAAGGGGAATGGACTTTTTAAGTCCATAGGGCTGCTTTGTGCTGCCATAGCTTTTTGTGAGGAGAGAGGAGTAGTTGGAAGTGAGCAAGGAGTTAAAATGGTATCAAACACCATGGCCAGTTTTGTGTGGCAGTGTGTAGGGATCATCACTCCAATGACTGTTTTGGTCATCTGAGAAGTGTCACTACAGGAAGTTAGAATTGGCTGTACAGGGAAACTTTTGTATGTTTCCACAAAATATCTGTCACTTCCAGATTATGAAAAACTGAAATTACTGAGCTAGTAATGCTTCAGAGACCCTCTGCTATTTGTGTTCCCTAAAAGAGCTTTACTGAGGGGAAATGTTTGCCTCTTGTCAGAATGACTGCCCCAGGCCATCCAGGAGCCGTGCATTAGCTCAGAGTTGATTTGAGAAGACCAGAATTTCCAATCCTGAACATACGCCATCATTCCTATCTCTATCTAGATAGCTCCTTTTCTTGCCTTTGACTGGTCCGAGTGTGGAGGCAGAATGCTGTACCACAGAAAGTTCTGACACATCTCTCTCTGTCCTTTCTGTCCCAGGCATGTCCAGATCAGCAATGAGTCCGCAATTGACTTCTACAGAAAGTTTGGCTTTGAGATCATTGAGACGAAGAAAAACTACTACAAGAGGATAGAGCCCGCAGATGCTCACGTGCTGCAGAAGAACCTCAAAGCCCCTTGTCTTGGCCAGAACGCAGATGTGCAAAAGACCGACAACTGAACAAAACCCCAACGAACACTTTCTTGCACTTGCTTGTCGCCAAATAAGGAAAGAGAGGCCTCTTGATATTTTCTTCCTTTTTTTATTTTTTACTCCACCCCTTCATCTTAATTTTTTTTCTTGACCTCTCTCCAACGAAATGTAATGCTTCTTCCAAGGATTGTCCAATCATATTTGGGGTTGGTTTTTTTTTTGAGCTTTCTTTTTTTGGTGGGGCTTTTTGGGTTTTTGTTTTTGTTGGGGTGGGAAAAGGTGTGCAGATTTTTTAAGTTTGAGGTGTGGAGGGCTTGAGCAGGTTATCCTGATGACAAGTTTCCTTCAGAATTATCTCTTTCAGTAAGCAGAATGTAAATCCAATGGGGGAAAAAAGGAAAAGCAATATCTTGTCCTTTGACTCCTACATTATTGTGTTTTTTATAACCTACAGGGTACTTTACTCCCCCCCCAAACCTTTGAATGTTACTTCAGTACTTCCCATTCTTCCTCTTAATTCCCCCCGCCTCAGAAAAGTATGTTTAGTTATTCCCAATATTTTTGAGTATGGCTTTTTCCTCCATCTTTTGCTGAGAAGGGTGGGTTACTTTACCATACCTTTTCACTCTGCCTGAGCTGATCTTTATGAATGCTTTTTTTTAAATACTCCTCACCCAAGCTGGTGCTACATTTCTTAACTGAGAGGAGGGTTTAGAGTGGTCTTTGTTTTTTCTTTTTTTTTTTTTTTTCATTACCCCACTCCCAGCAGACTTCTGCCAGAATAAGAGCTAGATCTGGTGTTGGCAAGAATAACCTTGTAAAAATATGAATCCTGAGGCAAGACCCTTGCTTTAAAAATGGGTGAAATGCTGTAGGGGCTCATTGAGAGTTAGCTTTGTCTCTGTTGTTGGGATGGGAAAAGTGACTGTGACCACCTTACCAGCTTTGATCATACAAGGCAAGCACCTATCTCCAGATAAATTTGTTACAGCTCCTAAGTCAGTGGTGACAAATCTGAGATGAAGCAAGGGTTGAGGAACCTAGGCAGCAAGGCTGAGAAGGCAAACACGAATCTGACCCTAATGGCGTAGCTTTGTAGGGGTCTCCTGGATTTGCTTGGGATTGGCTTGGCTTGCTGTGTTTATGTGCTCCTTTGGGAGGAGGTGGCTAAGAACTGTGCAGTTTGCTCCTTTGAAGAGTCGCTTCCCCTTTCACCCTGTTCAGTGGTAATAATTCAGTTCTCTCATGAGAGGGTGTTCGTGGAGCGCCAGGGAAAGCGACATATATTAGAGCATTTTATGGGTTTGGAAAATAGGCTGACTGGCTTCTTCCTAGTACTGTAACCTCAAAGCTACAGTAAACTCTACTAAGCTCTGCTTTTCATCCTTTCATGCTTTGTTTGCGTGAGTATCAGTGCTCCTTTCTACGCACTGTTGCCAGCAATTTTATGTATGCCAATACAAATACCAACTTGAGCTTGGACTCTTCTCCAGGCACCTGGGAAAGTGCACTGAGCTGAGACAACACCAACCTGCCCCAGCCCCCAAGGAGATGTTGTTTTTTAAGGTTTAAATCAGCATCTTGAATTCATCTGCTCTGAAAGCATCCAAGCTATAGTGCGCATCGCAGCATACATCTGGTTAGTAGGTGCTGTCCAGTCAGTTGAGGGTGACTTGGGAACCAAGGATTTCAAGATGGGAGCTGTGATGAGGCAAGGGATGGATGATGCCCCTCATTGCACATTATCTGGTCTTTGATACCTGAGGGGTGACTATACAAGCTGCTACAGAATTACTCCTTCTTTCCCCAGAGGTGTGTAGTGCTTGTTGGAGTGCATCTTGACAGACCTCTGCTGGAAAACGGCTACTCTATTTGCTGGGTTTGCACTAATTGAGTCTTGGGGATGGGCAGATCTCTTAAAAACAGAAGCCCCTTCGCATGGCCTGAGCACCTGTGTTTGCAGCACTCAGTGGCAGACTCTGGCTAGAAAGATGCAAACGGTTTCCTTGGCCAGAGGCAGCCTAGTTTTGACAAAAGGGCATTTTTACTGCTAGGACCTGCTTGCACTGGCTACGTTGGCAGTTCCAGCATCTTTCTGGAAAGAGGTGTGTTGAAGCACAATTAGCTTGTCATATGCCAACATAGTTTCCCTGGCCATCTGCAGACCAAACCAAGAGAAGTATATGGAGGGAGAGAAATAGTATTGTATCTGAGGATGTTTGTGCAGCACAGCTGTAACTCAGACCATAGCTGCCTCTGGTGCCAAGTAAAGTGCTCTTCATTCTTCTAGAATTAAGTGGTAAGTGTTTGGGTTGGGTAGATGGGTGTGGGGCTATGAACTCTTAGAATTTGCTGTTGTCGTAGGCTTCCACAAATTGGTGTGTTTCACAGACAGTTTTCCTTCAGGTTTAAAAGTACAAGTCTGATGTCTGAACTTACTTGGATTAACCTTTGTTTCTGTCTCTTTTTGCTTTGGGCTGCCATCATTCTATGAATGTATCCCTGAAAACAATTCTTAAAGCTCCTATTCCACAGCAAACCTGCCTCATTGTAACTTCTGATAATGTGTTTTGTACGAGGTGGAAGAGAGAGTAACCATGTATCTAAGACTCCTTTTCCCAGGCTATTAATCCTGGAAAACGGTTGGTAAATCTTCAATACAAGGTTTAATCTAAATCTTGTAGAAAGCTGTGTTCCCTGTGCATGGATAAGGGCGAGTGAGGGTCCATAGTTCTGGATGACAAACAGTTGTATTTTATTAGTGTATCAGCCATGTTGAGTATGGGAGGAGAATACTTTTATCTTAGTGCTGTTACCCAGAGACACTGAAATTGTGTCAAGTATGAGCTTACTGCAGAGAATGTAATTTACTTTGGTTATTGCTGCAGCAGGACCTCCTTTTAGCTTGAAAATAACAGCTTATGAACAACTGATCTTTAAAAACAATTGGGAGTTTCAGTGGAAGAAAAACTGACCCACCAGCACTTCCTGTTCTGGATGAAGACCTAGCAAGAAAGTTGTATGCAACATCTTTTAGAGTGTAAATTGTGTATATATGAGTTATTCCTGAATCTCTGCAACTGCTTTTGTCATGCATCAGTTGGAGTATGAAGATATTGCCTACAAAAAGACTCCTACTAGAGGAAACCATGGTACAGGGGAAAAAAAGAATCATCCAGGAGAGAGATCCCTCATTTTTGGGAGGGAAAGGGAGAGATGTTATTTTGCGTATGCAGAAACTCGCTGAGTTTACGTGATGCAGCTAATGGTTAAACCTGCCAATTGAACATAACATACTGTTACAACTGAAACAAACTTACATGATATTTCGTTAAATCTTGATGGTGCCCTGTGTCTAGTACAAATTTGATCCCAAAATTGTTTTATTCTCCCCATTGTTGTAATCCAGGGTCAGCTGCTATGCACAAAGTCTGTGTTTTGTAAAGTGTTTGCTGACTTGGATGTTTCTTTTGAATCTGCAGCTGCTTCCTGATTAATTTGGCTGAGACCACCCCTGGTCTTTTGAGTTAAGATTTAGTCAAAGGTATGCTGTATGCAGTTTACAGATGCATTCTCAATGTTACAAGTTAAGTTGCAGGGGGAGCAAATTCTTTACAATAAGATGGTCCATTTTTAATCTATATCATTGCCCTTGTTGTATATCAGGAGCATGTTTTTGTTTTTCTCAAACTCTTTAGAAATACCGTTCAGAATAAACGTGCACTATTTGAGTTACATCATTTATGACTTGTCATGTGCAATTTTTTCACTCCAGCTGTTCCCCTCTGAAATTGGGTATAAAATATTACTCAGATGTTTCATAAACTGTATAACTTAGAAGATTTCTAATGTGAACTGTAAATTGGGCTGCTGTGATGAATGCCATGGGTGTCTGACAGCTGAGGAGAGTGGAGTCTGCTTGTTCTCCCTGAAGTTATGAGCCTTTTCTCAGAAATCCTCTGTCTTGTGGGGTAGGGGAGAGGAAGAGGAACTGTCCTGGAATATTTGTGCCTTGACTAGTGAGCAATCTTGAAATAAACGGACCAGGCATAAAAAGCCTCGATGTTTTGGGCTTTATAGGTTAAATGTTTTAAAGTATTCAAATTAATTGCTAGCTATTGCAAATCTTGACAACAGTCTTTGAAAAACTATGGTCTGTACCTGTAAAAGTAACTGGTCTTAAGATGCAGTGAGTACTCTTCCATACTGACTTTTCTCAGAAAGGGATTGAAGTAAAACTCATTGCTCTGCTTAACTATTCCAGTCCTTTCTGTTAAAGCAATGTTTTTGTCTGTAGTTTCTTTCTGCTCCTCTCCTGCCTTGAAGTGCCATTTATGAATTGATAAAGCTGCAGCGTGGTACAGTTTCTGGGGAAATGTTATCCCAAAAATTCTATACCATATTCTATATACTGTTCATTAAGTATTCTATCTTATTGAAGTTCCTCTAGAAACTGCTTTATTGGTAAATGGAGTCACTGCATTCACTAGGATAGCATGCAAAAGCAAAGCTCGGGCTTTGACACTGGACTGTGGTCTGGAGCTGCTGCTGCTGCCAGCTGTCTTCCCTGACCTCTGCTGGAGAGCCTGGAAGGCACAGCTGGAGATGAACTGCTACCAGGAGTGCAACCTCCATTGCTCTGGCCTCACCAACAGCTGCAGAGGATGGAAAACTTGCTGTGCTTAAGCTGCTGCAGCTGTCTCCAAACCCCTCAGCTTTTATTGATTTGTCATGTTTCTTTCCTTCTCCGCCCCATCCCAGTCACCTCTCTGACAGCCTGTACAGTTTCAAACAATTCAGTTACTCCTTTACAGGGAAACCAGCAGATGCCTCTCATTGTGTTGCCCCTTCCCAAAGCTGTGCTGGTTCCATTCCCCTCACTGTATTCAAAACTTGGGTGTTTATGGGGTCCTTGTAATAACTTACGGTGTGCTGTTACATCTTTGTTATCAGTTTGCTTTTTTTTCTTGCTACAGAGATGATTATTTAAAGAACAGTTATGGTGCCAGAATCTAATAAGTGAGTTGTAAGTCAAGTCAATCACTTCACATGAGAAACTGGAATTGTTGTTTTTTAAAATAGTGTTGAGGAGTATCAACCCTAGCACAAATCTTTCTCAGCTCCACTGCTGACTGCCCACTAGTGTGAAAACTGATCTTTTATTCTGTGCCCTGTGAATTTTGTCTTGTAATTAGCTCTCTTTCC